CGCCCCCTCCCTCCTCGCCGTCGCGCGCCATGCCGAGGGAGTGGGACGATCCCGCGCCCCGGGACAAACGCAAGGCTGGCGAGCTCCACCGGGAGCCCGCTCGCCCCTCCCCCGACAGCCTTCGACACGAGGAGGAGCTCCGGAGGGAGCTCCGAGAGCTCTGTGACCGCCGCCGATCCCCTCCCCGCCGCGAGGGCCGTGGCCGGTCCCGCTCCCCTCGGGCTTCTCCGGGCGAATGGCGTGGACGCCGGCGCTCCCCGTCGCCGCCCTCCCGCCGGGCCCGCTCTCCCTCCCCATCCCGCACCGCGCGGCCGAGCCCGCCCCGCCCCCGGGATGGGATCCTCCCCACCCCGGTGGAACCCCGACACTATGTGCCGCCCCATGCCGCGGCCGCCGGGGGTGCGGCCCCGGCCCTGGCTCCCGGTGGTGGCCCCGCCCGCGGTTGGTCCGGTCCGGCCAAAAAGAAGAAGTGGAGCGGCGTGCGCGCCGCGCCACCCGTGCCTCCGCCGGCGGGCCATGGCTCCACTCCCGCGCCGGGCCCCGTCTCCGGCCTTCCTCGCCCCCCTTGCTTCAACTGTGGGGTGAGGGGTCACTCTCAGGTCACCTGCGTCAACCCCCAGTGCTGCTACCTCTGCAAGGACCCCGGCCACCCCGCCATCCTGTGTCCGGATAGACCGGTGGTCTCCGAGCTCATGATGTATGGGCATGGGATTGAGGGGTTGGGCTTCTTCCACCTCGAGGTTCCGGATGCTCCTCCACCGTCTCCCTCCCTCCAGGCGATTGTCACTGTCGTCGACGGCGTGGCATCCCCGGAGATGATCGAGGCGGAGCTCAACCACCTCTACCGACACCAGTGGGACTGGGTGGTCACTCCCACCGCTGGCCACATCTTCTCTGTCGTCTTCCCCGACTCTGCCAGCTATGGCTACGCGACGCGTAGTGGCCGGATCACCCTCGCCCTCAACCAGCTGGTGGTCGAGATCTCCGAGCCAGTTCTCGACGCTCAGGCTGTGGCCGTCCTGGACACCGCCTGGATCCTCATCGCCGGCCTGCCCGATATTGCGCGGTCCGAGCCCGTCATCCGCCAGATGTCCCGTCTCCTGGGCAAGGTGGTGGCCGTGGACGAGCTCTCACTCCGCAAGGAGGAGGAGGTCCGGGTCAAGGTCAAGTGCCTCGACTCCACCAAGCTGCACACCTCAGTCCGCGTCTTCTTCAACGACCAGGGCTTTGACCTCAGGATTGCCCCCGAGCCACCCAACCACATTGGGCGTCCCTGTTCCTTGGACGCTGGCCTCCCTGGTGGCAACCCGGGGGCCGGTGGGGACTACCACGGGCGGCACCGCTCCCATCGCTCGGATGAGGAGGGGGCTTCTGAGGACTCCCGCTCCCCCTCCCCCTCGCCCCCCACCGACCGGGGGGGCGGGGGCCAGGGCCGCAAGGCCGCTCTACTTCCTCTGCTGGATGACTCTGCTCTCGCGCCTGTTCCCTCCTCCGAGGGGAGCGACATCTCCAGTGTGGGCATGGTGGTCTGCCCGACCTCCTCCCCGCGCTCTCCTACGTTGTCCCCTGCCACTGGGACGGTCTCGGCGGACTTGCTCTTCGTCGCCTCCTCCACCCTCGTGGAGTCGGCGGCGCCGGTGGAGGGGCTGGCATCGCCGGCGGCGGTCCCCCTCTCCCCGGCCGCCTGCGCCCCACCCGACCCATCCCCTCCTCGGAGGATGGATGCCCAGGCCGCTCCCCCCCTCCCGCTCGACGACCCTGCTCCGTCGCCTCTCCTCGTCCCGTTGCCTCCGCCTCCTCCACCACCGGCTGGGACGCTGCCTGAGCATCTCCTCTCCAGCTGCGCCGGGCCAGCTCAGCTGGCGTCGCCGTCTTCGCCGGTTTTGAGGGAGGGGGCGACTCGCGTGCTCGCCCCGATGGCGGCCCAGCCCCCTCCCCCCCCGCTCAGCTGCGTACTCCCGTCGCGGCAGGTCGACCTCCTCCCCGGTGGTGGCCTCTCGCTGGAGTGCGCGGCTGGATGCGGCCCACCCGGAGGGATCCCCGGCTCTGCCCATCCCCGAGCGGGCAGAGCTTCGCGCGGCTGCCCGCAACCTGGAGCCAGGCACACCCCCCGTCCCCCCCTCTGCATCGTCTTGTTCCTTTTCTGCTCTAGAATCTATCCCCCTCGGCAACCTTGCCAAAGTGGCCTCCGACTCTGCTATCATTTTCAGGGGGGAGGTTGGCCCCCCTTTAGTTCAGATAGCTGCCATCCGGGCGCGCGAGATCCTTGAGGGGAAGCTTGCCGAGGCCCGTGCTGCTCTCCTTTCCCTCCCGGACGCTCCTGCAGACAGGATCCCTCCCTCTACCTCCGGGCCGCGGCGACCGGCTCCCCCACCTCCGGGCGAGATCCGAGGCCGTACTCGCGCCCGCACTGCCGCTCTTCGCGCGCAGAGCGCCTCCCGTGTCCTGGGGTCAAGCAGCCCCCCGATGGCTCCATAATGCGGGCCCTCTTCTGGAACATCCGTCGCTTCGGTCATGATGGTCGTCGCCGCTAACTTGTGGAATACATGCGAGATGAACACATCGACATCGTTGCTGTCCAGGAGACCATGCGTCGCGAATTCTCGCTCCCCGAGCTCGATCGTTTGAGCTCCCACCTCTTTGCGTGGCACTGGCTCCCTTCTAGTGGGAGCTCTGGCCACTCGGGTGGCATCCTTTTAGGCGTGAAGGATGCCACATTCGAGGTGGGCAGTATGGACTGGGGGGAATTCTTCGTCAGCATGGAACTCTTCGAGAGATCTCTCAACTTCAAATGGGAGATCGTCATTGTCTACGGGCCTGCCGACCATAGTAGGTCGGCAGCCTTCCTCGAGGAGCTGCATCATAAGATCTCGGCAGCCTCCCTCCCCGTGGTGGTGGGTGGCGACTTTAACCTGCTGCGCGTGGCGGAAGACAAGAGCAACGACAATGTTTGCTTTGCCAGAATGCAGATGTTTAATGACTTCATCGCCGACCTCGCCCTTCGGAAGATTGATAGGATTGGTGCGCGGTTCACTTGGACCAATCGGCAATCCTCCCCGACCCAGTCCGTGTTGGACAGGGTCCTTGTCTCCCCGGAGTGGGACCTTCGCTGCCCCCTCTCCTCTCTCCGCGCCATCAATAGGATTGGCTCGGACCATGTCCCCCTTCTTCTCTCCTCTGCGGACGAACGTCCGCCGATCCCTCCTCGTTTCCGCTTTGAGACCTTCTGGATCTCCCAGGCAGGATTCACGGACGCAGTTTGCGCCCGGTGGATTGAGGCCAGAGCCCACCCCCATCCCAGGCCTCCCTCGGCGATTGACACGTGGCACCTTTGTGCGAAACGTGGTAGAAA